TGGTTAATCACCAGAAGTATTTTTTTTAACTATAAAGAATTCTAGATATTGAAAATAAAGCCGAAGTTCTTAATTATTTATCAATTTCCACGAAATGAGACGCTTCACACATTCCTCCTCTCTATTATCGCTATAAAATCAACAATTTCTCACTCACCGACACGTGCAACTGCAGCAAAGCGGAGTTGTAGTACACAGCAGATTGATCTGCAAACAAAATATTCAAATTATGTATACATGTGTGTATGCATATACAAATTTGAAAATCTGGAAACGATTTTATAAACAATGCAATTTAGAAAAGTGTTTTTATTTTGCATACCTCATAGTTGCCCCGCTCTCGCCCGATACCCCAGGGCCTCCTCCTCCTCTCGTGGACCTTCATAACACTCACGACACTCACAAAAACACGAATAATTACGACCGACACTTTACACGGCACTCCCGACGCGCGACACTTTACACGGCACTCCCGACACGCGAAAATTTACACGGCACTCCCGATATGATCCGTGAACCTCACTGTGTACCTCAACGCTACCTGTAACAAACAAAATACATACATATATTAGAATAATCTTATTTTGCATTATAATATATACGATATAAATATGTAAGCTAAAATTAACGATATCCACAGATTGCAATACATTAAAATAAAATAATAATAAATTAAATAATAAATTAAATGAAAATAAAATAGAATAGATTAAATTAGATTATATTGATGATTGGCAAGAGATTTTGCATCGAATTTCTCGCAAAATATGCGTTTCGAACAATTACACCTATACTATGAAGATTGAAATTATATGATTGATATAAATATTACAATACAAATCGTTAGAAACAATTATGTTTACTAATTAATCACAGTGAGACACAGTTTGAACTGCCTCGTATTCGCGGCATTTCGATAATGACCGAAGCTGTTCGTTATTTTGCAAACATTAGCAACTTCATTCTAATAACGCGTGCGATTTATATAATACATTACTTAAAATATTAATAACTAATTAAAACTCGAAGAGGATTTGTCCAAAAAAATATAGCTTTGCTGTATACGCGCGTAATATAATACGTATTTACAAATTTTCATGTCTTCGCTCAAAAAGAGCGATAAAAATAAATAATTCTTAACTGTAATTATTATGTGTAAAATTATCTATCAGATATCCTAGCGATATTGCACGATTTTCTTATCAAAAATTAAACCTAAAGAAAACTTAAAGAGCCCCTAATTAAAAAGACGTTTAAGTCCTGTATCTGTATATTTTTTTAGATTTCAAAAACTAATCGATTTTAAATAAAAATTAGTATCATTTGAGATATGCTATCGCAGAATATTGCCACTGAATATTAAAAAGCGTGAAAATATCGAATTACGTAACATATAGAATCGATAATTGATACTCATCCCCGGAAATAAATGATAAAAATATCAATGCATTTGAATTTAAATTTCATATGCACATTAGTATTCAAATAGTCTTGATGTCGAGGCGCAGTTCATTTGCGAAAGCTGCGTGAAACGGCGTTGATCGTTTTAAAGATAGTGCGCGAGTCAAAGGCATTAAGGCGCGAATCACCGATTGAGTTACAGGTCCCATTTCATATCGATATTCTAATTTTATTGCTCGATCGCCACTCGTAAATGGCGAGGATTAAGAAGTGGCGAGATGCTACGTCCTTCGTGATTACGTAGCCGCAGGTGCCGGGAAGAGCACTAATTGATCGTCATCTTGACAGTGCGACGATCGAAACTGGCTCTGATTAAAGCGTGATGCGCACTCGTGTCAAGACATAACTGTCCTCGGGATGTGTGAACATCTTTGTTTTTGTAGTTTATACCCACAATGTTTATATCGACGACGCTTTTTAGCTTCGTCGAATATTTCAACATAGAAACAAAATATGTAGACACAATTAATAAATATATAAATCGTGTTATAAATCACTGATAGATAAATATATGTAATATAATATATTTTAAATATTAATTACAACTATATTATTTATATAATATAATTATAATATTAATTATAAATATAAATTATAATATTATGTATATTTTAATATAAAAAATAATTATTCTCTTTTAGATGTCAGATTAGTAGTCATGACTTAAAATCATGAATACGCAAAATTTTGCGATATATTCAGAATATATATAAGTTGCAGTTTAATTAAAATCTGTAAGACTTGCTCAGGTAAAAAATTGCATCTTTTTTTATTTTTGCTCGACTTGCTTGTTGACACCAAGAGGTTCTAAAGCTATTTATACTCGATAATTCTACGCCTCGTTCTACTGTGCAACAAATTTCACACGATATCGAGATCGAGAATCGCTCGCTTTTGGTTTACGAGCATCAAGAGAACGTCAGGGCAGGATCGCGGCGGAAGAAAAACGTTAATGCAAAAGCGCTGTCTAATCGCGAGATAAATTATCTTAAGGAGATATAATAGAAAACGCGCGAGAAATCATTATATCGGTGCGCGCGGATTGCAAACGCTATCGCCAGTATAACCGGAAGACGTTAAGTGACTCGGTACACGGCTTCCATCATCTTAGCTTGGCGATTGATCCAATCGTACGCGTGCTTCAGTTTCTCTCTAAATATATACGCTTGTAAGTTACGGACGTGAGTCGAACACGTCGATCGCGGATGCAAATTTTTGCGTCTGAGTAACGAGCTAGTTCTTTGGAAAACTGCGCAGACACATGGAGCTCAGATTCCAAAGAGAGAAAAGTACAGAGCGAACAGAAGAGGTACAGTAAAGAGAAACGTGATTTATTCGTATTATTGGAACGTAATTTCCTTGATAAAATGGCAATTTAAATATATAATAAAAATAAAGTATAATCAAAGTTATTTTATAGATGAAAAGAGAGACTTATATATTTATTGTTCCACAGAGAACAAGCTCGTCAAAATATATGTACAGGAAGAGTGGCACATATTGATACAAAATATATAATAAATAATACAGGAAATACAATACAAAATATATAATACAAGAAATTATTTAAACCTTTGCTTCGATTATTTTTTCAACGGAGTCGAATCTTTTCTTAACAAATATTTTAGAGAAATATTTTAGTGTAATAAAAAAATTTAATACGAGGCGATATCATAAAATACAAAATTAATGTCATATATATGAAAAAGAAGATACTGTAATTACTGAAAAAAACACAGAAAAAAATGAGACAAGAAGATGCGTGAGGAGAGAGACAACGAGCGAGCAAAGGAGACAGGAGTCTTGAGCAGAGTTCGCGACCGGGCCTGTAACGTAACTCAGTGCCAGAGCGTTTCTTCCCGAACGTTGTAGCCACGTATCAAATATGCAAATGCGAGTGCATAATTTGTCGTTTGCGCACGCCGAGACCGCGAGTGGAAAGACGAGTACAATGCGGCGAGCGAATCTCGGGCCGAATCGAGTCGGGTTGGCCAAGTATTTATAACGGATAATTGAAGGAAGAGAGGAGAGTAAAAGAGACGAAAGAGTTGTAAACTTCATCAAATAATATGTATCCGCACGGAGTATATGGCTCTATTACTTTGGGACTATATCTTGTCCCGATACGGCTCGATTTTTCGCGCACTCCGATGAAATCTTTTTTTAATTTTCTTCTTCTCTTCCCTCCTGCTCCGGTTTCTTCCTTAACGTTTCTGTTCACCTTGTTGGACCTCTCCCATTCCATGCTACATCGTGGCGATAACGTAATTGGTCCGTGAAATTATCTGATTTGCGGCTCACGACGTCCAGAAAACGGAGAGAGGTCCAGCCCCAGAGATTCTACGAGGCTTGTATAATTGTACACTGCTTGTAATTTGTATCGTAAGTGTATTAAGGAAATGCTGATACCGATACGTATGTAGTTAACTGCTTCAATTCGGGATAATGTGCACGTGCGATAAAGATATTAAAAAGCACATTTTGACGAGATAAGAGGAAGCGGAATTGGAAGCCACATCGTTTTCTGCGGCAGTTATTGAAGATCGGATCGAAAATGTTGGGAATAATTTCGAGACAATAATCTTAAAATCCACATAAGAATCTGCGTACAATTTTCTTATCGTGCTATTTCTTGTAGTCCTGTGTACCACCAATTTTTATTTCTCTAATTAATTTTTCATGTTTTGCACTTTCACATACGAAAGTATATAAAAAAAAATTTTGTTCGCGCGTCACTTTTGCAAGTTGTACCTAATTATGCTTTGCGTTGGAAGAGAATTATTTTGAAGCGAATTAATATTAAATATGTTGGCCGAGAGAGAGAGAGAGCCTCTCTTATGTTTATTCTTTTAATTCACGGTCTCCGCCCTGGAACTTTCGGAACGAAACATGTATTTACGCGATGCACATATGCAAATGCCCCTCCCCTGCGTTTGATACAAGTGTCCGTGGCATCATAAATACAAGGTGTGGGAGAGTGGTATTGTGAGCGTTTGCCATTGTACGGGAGAATTTAAATCAAGGACCGAAATGCGCGCTCGAAACGGAGGACGCTTCCTGCCCGTTTCAAAACCAGTATCGAAGCAATATTCGACAACCACCTACGCGTACCCCCGTGGAGAAAGTCGCCCTTCTGCGTCGGAATTTATTGCAATCGCTGCGCGAGCAGAAGTATCCAAGAGGGAGCCCTTAATTTCTCTCGCTCTCTACGAGAACATAAAATTAAACGCCCGAGAACGTAAACAGCTTCTCGCAACTTAGAGAACTTGTTCCCACGCTCGAGTATAAAGCGACGCTGTCTCTATTAAGAATAAGTTTTCTACATACTTATTTTTAAGGCATAAAAAGAATTTGAAGGATTAATCATACGTAAAACTATACAACATTGAAACTATTTACTAATATACGTATACCACAGATAAATCAAAATATTAAAACTCTTTGTTGAAATTTTAAATCATAAATAACGTTTTAATTATATATATTTAACCTACATCGAATGTGGTTATATTGAAATATTCCATAAAACTTTGTTTCAGATTTCAAGCAAATATCAAAATACACGCGTGACGGATAATAGCCCCATCGTTTTACGAGGATCAAGTGCAGCGAACCAGAGAACAGCTTCCTCGTGTGATGAAGACATTCAAGCTCGAGCGCGTTCGTGATCGCCCCGTAAATTTCCCGAGAACGGCAGATACGATCGCGTCCGCGAATAATTTCTGGATCGGTCATGAATCCTCGGAATTCGGTCTACTGCGATGAAACCTACGGAGATGAATCGTGCCAAGAGGATAAGAAGAAAAGAGGTATTACTCCTTTTATGACTTATTAAGTTCATTGACTCTTCTTTCTCTGAGAAACAAGACATATTTCTGTGGCTATAAAGTTTGTACTAAAAATATGATTTAATAAAATCGAGCTATATAAGCTATATAAAGCTATATAAAGCAACAGGTTACTAATTCGATCAATATATCTATATAAATTCATAAATCTGTGGATTCATAGAGGGAGAAACTACCAGATCTACGGATACATAAATCTGTAAATTGCTGGCTCTATGGATGATTTACAAGTTCATAGATTGCTATGTTCGTGTACACAGTTGCGTAGGTTGTTAAATCTATAAATCTGTAAATCCATAAATTCACATTCTTACAGGTCACGTTTAAGCACGAAAACCTGACGTTTGAAGAATGACACGCAGTTTATCACTTCTTTCTTCCTGTTTTCTACGCTACGCCTTCTGTTCTGTTAGCGATTTAGATTAATAGATTAACGTGATAAATAACTTCGCTAAATTAAGCTTTAAGAAAATACAAACGGAAAATAAACGCTTATTTATTAACAAATGCAAAGTTACTTGGCTTTAACAAAATGTTGGTTTTTATCTGTACCTTATCCATTTAATTAATAGACAGTTATGCAAAAATAACAATCCCATTATGTTAACTAAAAATACATTTCAAAAGTATATTGATGAAATAATTTGTTGCGAGAGATAGCAGTAAATTTTGTTATACGGAATATCAAATTCTATACATACCAACATGTGTAGATATATTTTACATGCAAAATTGATCAATTTTTCCCCTGGATTATGGTTCCTTCGATAATATTATAGCATCATAAGATCCTCGGTGGATCAAAATCGAATCACGACGAGAAAAATTCCACGTGTAAAATGATGTTCGTACCTATTCGAGCGGCCGCTGCTATATATGAAACGGGCGGACACGTGTCTTTCACTCGGCTCGTAAATCGCTCGTGGGTGGAGAGGTTCGAGAAAGAAAATAAAAATGCATGACGAGCACAAGATATGAAAGGCAAAAAGAGAGAGAGAGAGAGAGAAAGAGAGAAAAAAATGCACGCAAGAAAAGAAAATTTCCCAATGAGAGACCTCGACACCGCGCCGGACTTTCGCACATAGATAAGCGCCGTAACAAACATTATCTTTTACTACTTGGACCAAGATAGCGCGGAGCGCGTAAGAGCAGCTTTTCGCTCTTCTCTTCCGTGCTCCGTTTTTTCGTGCCACCTTTCGCGAGGAACTCGAAGAGCCGTTGCCAATCGAATACTTTGTTTCCGGAAATCGTAATCTAAATGTACGCACGCTCGATAAAAATATATGCGTATCATCTTAGATGATCGTAAAATCCCGCGCTCCCGGACGACGCACCGATCTTAATTTAAGAGCAAAGTAATTTTCATAAAATCTCGTGAACAAAAGCGGGGCCAAATTTCTTTCATTAAAATAGAATATTTTAGAGATACGAAAAAGAATATTTTCCTTTGTCATTTTACAACCGTGATTTATTTTCTTTAACGATAGCATATCTAAAAATTCCTCGAAGAAGGGTAGAATGCCCCATCGATCACGATAGGATCTAAGGGTTGAAGATTCTCTTGATTCGGTTCGCGGACGGCTATGGGAAAATCGGCCCCAGTTTTTAAGTGACACGTCCGAGAGAGATTGTGTTCCGGTAGGTAAGCTTTGAAGGCGTCATTACGTGCGAACGACATCTCGCTTAAGTGCCCCATTTATATCCCGGGGAACATAGTGACGGGTACGTAGGAATTTATAAGCTATAATATCGCTACCACGGTAGTAAAGCGTACTGGTATATATCAGCACTGCGAAGATGATCGCCCCGATAAACCGTACACTGCATATCGTCTGATTTTATTGCCATTCCGGTGAGCGCAGTCTATCGCTTTTCTATATAGAACACCGAGATCCCGGGGTATCCACAGGTATAATTATCGAATTGCAGACCATCATTGCCATTATTGTTATGCATTTCTGCCCACAAACTCCGAAAAATTTGTAGAATCCGTAGAATGTGTTTGGAGAAATTGTTTAACAATTAAAAAAGAAGTTTAATTATTAGATAATTAATTATTCTTGTAGATGTAATTTTATACTTTTAATATCCACTTTTCTAATAATATATATTATTGCAAAAATATTTCTGATATTTCTAGATATCTAGTTTGCATCTTCGTATTGCTATACTCCTCATTGCTATATCATGATCTGATCGAATTGCAGCGAAAAATCAAATGAAGATGTCCACGCAATGCGCGTAGTATCACGAGAGTTGTCGCCCACATATCGTCATGCCTCAGTTATTACAAATGAACGTCCGCGAAATGCAAGAGTCTATATATCTGTCAATATATTAGATGAATCGTGCAGAATAATAAAGTTCATCAGCGAAGCAAGATAAAACAATGTTATTATAAAAATACACAAGGAACAAATTAAAGTGCATCGCTTCTCAATCAATCGCTTTTTCACCATGCTAAGTATATCTTTATTACATAAAGGAATTCTAAAATTTTTATTTTTTATGAATCGTATTTTTCTGAAAATTTATAACAATTTTATAAATATTTAAATTATTTCAATAGTAAGCGAAAGAGAGATTAAATTTTTAAGAAAAAATTACTTGAAAAAAAGATTTCTTTCTTGAAAATGACAAATAAGGCAATTAAAAGAATATATGCAAGAAGAAGTTTAATATCTAAGAGAGGATTATTCACGAGAGAGAAGCGATATAAGGCGGCATACACACGCGCAACGCGTGGGCGTGAGCCACGCGACCGAACGGGTTTCATCGTCTACTCTTCTCTCAGAGTCTTTCGTCTCTTCGAGGCTTCCACGCACAGCGATGCCTCGATGATGGCACCGACGTGCGTCGTACTTATTCATCTACAGGGTGTCTGAAGGAACACACTTGGCTTTTCGACCCGCAAATTTATACTTTCTGTATGTAATTGTATAAAATAATTTTTGAAACAATACTTCAAGCAAGGGTACGTTTTGAAGATTCTTGAATTTCAATTGTAGTTAAATAATAATTAAATAATAAATTTTTGTAAAAAATGTCTGAAAAAATTATGATGCACATAGTTACAAATTGTTAAATATTTTATAAAATTATTTTTTATCCATCAATAACAAACTATGTGAATCGATATTAATATATTATAGTGACAGTGATGAAATGAATTTTTTACAGAATAACGGATCAGGCAAATCAAACTCAAAAGCACGAATATACATATAAAAGCCATTACGGTACATATGTATATTTGTCTCATAATGTTCGAACACTTTTGTACACTTAACTGTCATATATTCATCACAGATACATAATCGCAGATAACGATCTCCGTCACAGTTGTCAAAATAGATTCGTAAGAGATATGAGCGCTACGTGAAGAAAAGAAAACACGATTACAACCATCCGGTTGAAACTTTATGGTTACGCACATTTGTGGTGTACGCCAGTCCCCGGAGAGATATGGTGGCATAAACTACGCGTTTGTGATGACCGTAAATGAGTCATCTAGCACCCTAGGATCGTCCATGGTCCCAAAAATTTACGACTATGTATGGGCCAAACGCAAGTCAGAATAGTTGACGATGTCGTAGAGGGTGGTGTAGACCTACCGCGCGGATAGAGTGAAACACAGATTATTCGAATGACTTTTATATATAAAACCAGCCAAGCCTCTTTCTTTGTCTGAACTAAGGTATGAGTTTCTAAAATTGGAGAAAAGAATTTTAGGTCCATTCCTATAGTAACCAAAATTAACTGACTTTAGTTTAACTTAATTTGTATATATGTATTAACAATTATCTTTAAATTAAACTTTTGTTAAAGTTTTATTTAAATTTTGCTTCAATTCTATTTGAAAAAGAAATAAATTTTTCTATCTATTTTTGATTTTTTTAAAACATGATTTGCGAAATACCTTCGATTTTTAACTGATTATAACTTATATTATGAATTTAACATATTTTATAAAATTGATTAGCTGAAAAACCATAGAATAAGCTTAGAACACACTGTATCTTTTCTGATCTCTTCTCGTATAAGAAAACTTGTCCGTGAATAAGATCAAGCATGCCATCACTACTAACGGAGTACAACCGCGTCGCGATTATCGATCTTATCATACCGGATTACGACACCTAAGGCAAGGAAGCGTGAATGAGCCTATTTGAGATTGAATATCGGGTGACACTATATTCGCGTTTCTACACCGTGTTGGTCTTTAATCGCGGACGTTTGTTACGCTCGGTGGGATGGTCGTTCTTTTCTTAGGATAGCTCCCGGGATGATCAGGTGGTGGAACGACAGCGAAGATCTGTTTCTCGAAAAAGAAAGGCAAGGAGGCGTGGAGATGCACAGTATGGACTATTCGTGACTCTCTACGATCGTGTATTGCTCGGGGAGATTCGCGACTTTATAGATATCTCGCCGCAGGTGTCCCAATCGCGAGAATCCCGTGCGCGGAATTTATCTCGCGATGCGCAATTAAGTACAATTACTCGCTGCTGGCCGTGATTTTAACGCCACCGTAAAACCGAACGCGATATTTCAATCACACCGAATCGCTTCCGTGTGCAACAAGTGCGATATTCCATGGGGCGAAACGCGATCACGAAACGCGATAATACGATAATAAATAAAGAGCATGCAAAAATGTTATATATATATATATATATATATATATATATATATATCCATGTGCAAAAATGTTATATACCTATATAACTGCAATATAATTTTTAAAAAATTATTTTGCAAAAATATATTGAAAGTTTGTATCTATAAAATGTAAAAAATATATTTTCCATATTTTTTTAAAATGCATATTATTTAAATAAGTATGTATTATTTAGCAATGATTTTATATGATATACGAATCAGCGATCAGAAAGTTTTATCGAAATATACACCAAAAAATTTCACCTAGTATGAGTGACAAACGTCGCAAATGAGAAATATAAGCAGTCCGAGGAGAAACTTTGCATATGATTACTGAGACATATGCTATTTCAACTCCTAGTACCTGTCTCTATTTATTAAGAGAGAAATCTGAATTTTTCATAGATCGTTTCTATTTGAAAACAAATACTTCAAAAACTATTATTGGAATTTTTGCGTGGGCCAGTTTTATGTTCTAGACTATTCTGTATGCGAACAGAAATAATTTTCACGTTTATCTTAACTTACATAATGTCTTTTTTTGCTCCTAATATTTGTGTAAATTGTGTACGCTATATGTATAATTTTCTACAAATTAACAGGACAATACTGTATAACTCTAAAATTATAAATCTATAATTAGATCATTTTCATTGAATGATTCGACACGATAGCAACTCACTAAAATTATATAATCACTTAAAACTATAGATATCGCGAATGAGAAAAATATATATATGTTTATAATTAGAATTAGGGATACTGAAAGTGAAAGCATTAATTCACCGACACTTTTTGCAATAGTAATTTTGAATTCTCTGACAA